TCAAGAATACCAACAAAAAAATACCATTGAAGAAATAACAGAAGAATTTCAAAAAATCAAACCTATCCTAAAAAACTTTATCGGTAAAGGTGGTTATGGTGAAGTATATTATGGAGAGTGAAAACTCCAAGAGGTAGCGGTTAAGAAACTTTATTTATCTCCCCATAATACTTCTGAATCTTAACTTAAGGATATTCGCAGAGAAATAAATATTCTTAAAAATCTAAGGAATAGATATATTATTCAATATTATGATGCTTATTCTGATAATCAAGAACTGCTCATTATCATGGACTATGCAGAAAATGGTACTCTAACTAAGTTTATTAATGAAAATAAAGATAAAGAATATGATTGAAACTTCAACAAGAATCTTATCAGGCAAATGGCTTTAGGTTTGGCTTACATCCATCACGAGAATGTTATTCATCGTGACCTTAAAAGCCTAAATATCCTACTAGCTGATAATTATCAAGTAAAAATATCAGACTTTGGTTTGTCAAGAACTAAAACTATTAGTTCTTCCCAATCAAAGCATGATGTTGTCGGCACCCTTCGGTGAATGGCTCCGGAAATTATAAAGGAACAAAAGTATTCAGAAAAATCAGATATATATGCCTTAGGCATGATTATGTGAGAAATTGTTGCTAAATGCACTATTCCTTTTAAAGATATTGAAAATAACCTATTAGGATTTCATATTATGAGCAAAAAAAAAGAAACAATACCTAATGATATTCCAGAAGATATTCGAGGTGTTATTCAGAAGTGTTGAAAAGATGGTCCTAGCGAAAGAATAACTCTGGAAAGGATACTGAAAATCATCGGAACCAATAAATCAGAACTTCGAGTTATTAGTGATGATAACAAGTTGTTAGGTACTGAAAATCTCTCTGAACCTCAAAATAGTAAAAAAAATAATGAAATATCCTATGAAGTTTCACAATCAATGAATTTTGATATTGATAGGTTTGACAATATGTCGAAAGACAATTCTCAAGAACAAAGTTCTACCCAAGTCCAAATCCAAGTCCCGCCTAAATAAAAAAGGGGGAGTCTGTCACTCCCCTAATATTCACTAGAACACTCTAAAATCAATACTAAACTATACATTCTTTAAAAAACCCTCTAAAACTAAACTTTTTCTAAGTAAACTATCTAATATCTGAATACTTCTTTAAAATTAATCTAACTGAATAATAAAAGAACTAATTAGTATTTACTTCTAAATTAAAATATTAATATAATAAAAAGCAGAAAATATACTCCGATTAAATTATCTAACTACTTATGAATACTAATAATATGTTTTACTACTGATTAGTTTTTTAGGATAGGTTTGATTTTTTGAAATTCTTCTGTTATTTCTTCAATGGTATTTTTTTGTTGGTATTCTTGATATTCCTCTTCTAATTCCCCATTCTTAGTTATTAATCTTTTCTGGTTATGGACATTTTTTATTTGTAATCGAGATTCCATTGTATTCTCTTTCAACTTAACTTTCAATTTCTGCTGATAAGTATAACTAAAATCAACATTACTATTAAAGTTACTGCCAATAACAATATTACCGCTTTGGATGTTAATTCCCCCAATTGAAATTTGTGGAACTTGACTTTTTTGATTTGTATTTTTTCTTTCCATAACTTTTTTATTTATTATTTTTTAGGAGAAATTTCTATCATAGTTTCTAACTCTTTGTCTATGTATTCTTGTCTAACATAACCCAAATTAGGATTATTTCCTATTTGGTTACCAATGAATACATTTCCTTGCTCTACATTAACTTGATTTACTCTTATTTCGCCTTTACTTATTTTCTTTTTCAATTGCTTTTCCTGCTCATCTACAATTTTTTGAAGTTCTAGTTTAAGTTTAGTTATTTCTTCTTGTAATAAACAAATATTAATTATTTCTTGAGAGGATATCGAGGTTTTTTTGGTTAGGTATTTTTGATTTTCTTCTTTCTGCTTTTTGGCAAAATTACTATCAAGTTTGACTACCTCTTCTTGGGCTTCCAAAAGGGTTTCTAATTTATCTTTTATCTTTCCTCTTTTAAGATAATTGACTTTTTGAATATAGGAAAATTTTAAGTCCTCCATTTCTTTTTCTTTGCTTTCAATAATTTTTTTAGTTTCTTGGTAAAGAGCAATTTGTTGAGATAATTTTTGATTTACTTCGCGTAGATTTAACAGATCATTATTTAACTTTTCTTTTTCATCTTTTAATCTTTCCACACTCTTTATGATTTTTTTGGCTCCGCCGCTAGGTTCGATTCTTTTTAGAATTCTGTTTCCATAGAGATTTCCGTATCTCTCTGCATCTCTCATTTTTCAACCTAAATCATTGATTTCTTTTTTTTCGGTTTCTTCTTCCTTCAAGAGTGAAGATAGAATTTCTTTTAAACCTTCATACTTGGATTCAACGCTAGCAATGCTTTCATTATTAATTTGTTGGTAGTTGTTGTATTCTTTGACCTCTTCTTCAAGTCCTTTAACTCGCTCCTGTAGTTCTTCTCTTTCTTTTAGCAATTCTGTAGGCCTTTTTTTTGCTATATTAATTAACTCTTTGTTAGAATTTCTCCAAGTCTGAAAAACGAACGAGCCTTGGTTAGTCTTTTTAAGAATAGGGTAATCATTATGTCAAATCCCTCGACCATATCCATATTCTTCTTCTATTTCTTCAGCTTCATATCTTCTTAACTTTGTTTCGACTTCCTTGCAACCTTGGTAATCTAAAACTTCCAAACTTTCTGGCAAGTATTCTAAATCAGAGTCAATGCTAGTATTTTCGATTGAAAGAGATTTTAATTTATTTAAACTTTTAAGAGGCTCTAAGGAACCGACAAAGGTTTTTCCTTCCAAAATCAATTTTTCTAAATTTTTAAACTTTTCAAAGACAGTCAAATTTTGGGGAGAAGAACTGTAATTACTAATCCTTAATCACGTGAGTTTTTCTGAACTTAGTCCATTAAGAAAACTAAACTCTTCAAAGCAATTGGCATTTATATCTAAGTAAGTAATTTCAGGACAATTACTAATAAAAAGACCACTCAAGCAGTCGTCAGAACAATTAATTTTAGCAAGTTTGGACAAGTTCCTAAGTTTGAGTTCCCAACTTTTATTTTTGCTGGCAAATTCACTTTTTCAAGAAAGAAAAGAATAAAAATTAGTATCTTGGTTTCGACTGTGAAAAATTATTTTTTCTAGATTAGTTCAGCACTCAATAACTAGAGGTCCCTCCAAATTGCTTGAACCACTAATACTTATCTCAATAACCTCGTTTCTTTTTTCTTCAGAGTAGTTTTTATCTAATCAGTACTGACTTCTCAACTTTTTTAAATTACTAATTAAAGGAGTATATCCTTTTCTTTTCAAGTAATTAGCAAACTCGGAATCCTCTATATTTAGATCCCCTTTTCTTATTCACATTTTTGCCTCCTTATAATCAAATCCTTTACTTTTTCACTGAATGACCTTGTCTAAATCACGAGATTTAAATCCAATCTCTGTTCATTCCTTTGCCTCACTATATTCAACTTTTGATTTCCTTCAAGAATAAGCAGTGTTTGCTTCTCACATCCCGAACCCAATTTTCATTCAGTTTTTAACTTGCTGATAATCAAATTCTTTGTTTTCTCATTCTGAAATGTACTTAAGGGAAGAAGAAGAAAGAACAGAAGAAGACAAAAAACCTAGCTTTATTCATTTTTCTGCTTCTTCATAACCACCTCTATTCTCCCAATAATTTTGCCAATCTGTTTTTTGCCAGTTATTTTTAAGCGGTGCTGAATCAGAAAAAATTATTCTAGCAAGTGGATTGTATCGATAGTCAATATTTTTTAAATGATTTGAATTACTTAAATCTAAACTTGTTAATCTATTAGCATGGCAGTCTAATTTCTCTAGACTTATAAAGTCACTTAAGTCTAAATGACCTTCCAGTTTTGACATATTTCCGTGGATAGGACAAATATTTAACTCTTTAATACTATCTCTCACCTCTTTAGGATATTTTTTATCCAATCATTCTTGTGCATTTACCATATGTTTTTAATTTATTTATTGAATTTTTGTTTATATGTTTAAAAATTATTATTTTCCAACCACTACTCCCACTTTTAGGCACTTATACCTAAACTAGGAGTGATTGGTTTAGAATATTATGCTAGTTAGATATCTCTCTTTCTTTTCTGACCATAGGCACACTATATTTATAGTTTTTTAAAATAAAAGTAATACTGTGCAGTGTAGGTTTTATAAAATTATCTATTATGTTAGCAAAAAAAAAAAAAAAAACTAGCAAACTAATTAGGGAGTTTTAGAGGTATGGTTCACTATGAAATGTATAAAAGAGATGCCTCTAATAAGTGTGCTGACTGTGGAAAAAGAACTAGTGAAGTTAGTGATAAAGAGTGAGTAATAGATTACCGCAATAGTCCTGGTTGAAAACTGGGAGATACTGCTAGGGAATATTTATGTCTTAACTGCGGAGATATAATTAGACAGAATGATAATGAGAAAATCAGAAAACAAAAAGAGCAAGAATATTCATTACTTAGTGAAAAAGCTGACAAATTACCTTCTGAACTTAGGCAACTTTGGGATGATTTAGAGTCTAAAGTAGAGAATGAAGATTTAGGAGTAAAAGATGTAAAAAGAATTTACGCTTTGAAAGAGAAAATTAAAGACTTTCTTAAAAAGGCAGAGAAAGTAGATATTAATAGTGACCATTGGACTAAAATTAATATCATCAGTAATCTTTTCCAGAATTCTCCTACTGAATTAGATAACTTTATCAGAGAGCATGCTTCACCGCGAACAATAGATATTGCCAAAAAGGGAAAATACTCAAAGATAAGAGATTGTTCTCATTTAAAAGGTATTGAACCTTGTACTGATGATCCCACTTTTTTCTGTTGCACTTATTGTTGGGATACCAACAGTCCGGAATTTCTCAATAGATTAAAAAGATGACATCTCTCTAACATTCGAAAAAAGTTAGAAGAAAATAATATAAGTTTATTCGATTTTTTTAAAACTTCTACTCATGACGCTTATGATAAATTATCTAGCGATACTTTTTCTTCCCAAGAGGAACTAAAAACAGTTTATCTAGAAGCAGAAAAAGATTTACAATCATTCCTAAAAAGTAAGGATATAAATATAGATAAGCAAGAGAGAGAGAGAGAGAGAGAGAGAGAGAGCAAAATTATTACAACAGTCTATCCAAAGTTTAGAAGAAAAACCTGATAAAACTTCGGAGGAAGAAACAGAATTAGATAATTTAAGAAAGAAACTTAAAGATTTAGATAAAAAAACTGAAAATAATTCTCCTCCTACTTCTTATCTTCCTTGAATAATTGGAGGGAGTTGTTTAGTTTCTGTATTGGTTTTAATAGTTTTTATTGCTGTTCGTCTGAAAAGAAAATCTTAACCTTTCAACAAAAAAATTACCACTACAATACCTCCAATAACCATCACTTTCTCCATAAAGCCTAGTTTATTTAGACCTAAAAAACTTAGTAAGGAATTACCCCCTCCTAATTCTTTTCTTAGAGTATCCAAAGTCTTTCTTAGATCATTTAATCTACTTTCACCATTTCTTAAATTGCCAGTTAGAATACCTAACTGAGTATTTAACCATTCATCAGTTTCATTAGGTTTGCGTGGAATAGTTCCATTTATTTTACCAATAATATCATTTATCTGATTTTGAATTTGATTATTAGCATTTATTTGTTGGTCTACTTCATTTTTCGCATCTTTATATCTCTGATTTTGCATCAGTTTTTCTTCTCACTCAGTATTTTCTTTATCTATTCTATCACCAATTAGAAAACCTGCTCCTCCTGCTAATGCACTATAAGCCAAGATTGGTCCAGCAGCTAAACCACCAGTAACGACACAGGCACCAGCACAGGCTACTGCTCCACAGAAAGCACAAAGTCCTTTTCAGAATCCCATAATTATTTATTCTTGCTTTTTAGATTAGCAATAACTTTTATATTTTGTTTATTTTTCATATTATTTTTGTTTAATTTCATTTACTTGCTTAATAATTGTTTCTAATTGCAATTGGTAGGTAGCAATTTGATTGGTTCAATTTTGGAGGGTTGATTTGATTTGTTGGATTTTTGATTCTATTTGAGTAATTTTTTGGTTCATGATTTTTTTATCTGTTGGCTAAATTTTTGGTTATTTCAGCGATACCATTCATTATCTGTTCTTTTCCTTCTATTCTAGATTTGTTTACTTCATCTATCAACTCATTCAGTTTATCATTAATCACTTCAACCACATCATTTAAACTGTCACTTTTTCTGATATTCTCAAAACTTCCATCATAAGCCATTAGGTTTCTTTTCTTCACGGCTCAAAAGAATTCCAAGAATTCGCCTATTTCAATATCTATCTTTAATTTATTTCCAGTTGGATTACCATCCTCATCTTTTTCATCTTCTTCTGTTTCTATTTGGGCATCAGGATTTTTATTAATAAATTCTTTTCAAAATTTAGGTTTGTCAGGTTGGCTAGGATCGTCTCCCAAGAAATCTTTTTTGAATATATCAATATTAAAATCAGTTACTCACTTATCATCTTCGGGATTTCATAATCCTTTCACTTCCTTTCATCTTTCTGGAAACTGTTCATAAATTCCTGCTTGCTGAGAGTGTTTTACAAATTCATTCCAAGTCCAACTAAAATCTAAGGGATTACTTAATCTGCCCTTTCGATAAGTCGCTTTTTCTACTTGGTCTTTATGATTGGTAGCAAATACTCACAAGTTATTGCTTGTTTCTTTTTGATCTATTCCTTCCATACAGTCTTTTAGGAACCTTAGTTGGTTAGGTTGAAAGAAGCCAGAGTTATTACTTATCTGATTGGCTTCATCTACAAACAAAATATATCTGACCTCTCCATTTTCTTCTCTTTCAAAACCGCATTCCTTAACTAAATTTCATTCTAATTCACTAATAGTGTAAGCAAATTTTTGCAAGGGAAGTATTTCCGAACTTTGGTCTGTTTCAGTTGGAGTTAAGTTAGAACCTTTGATTTCCACTAATGGATATTTATCGGCTCGCACACAAATATTTTTCATAGTAGCAGTTTTTCCGGTTCCTTCTGTTCCGTAAAACAAGGCATTATTACCTCTACTATTTTTATCCTTTATTCCTCTTGTAGGGTTTTTAATTGTTTCAACTATTCAAGAATTAATTTCATCTGATAGAATTAACTCTTCCTCCTCCTCTAGCGTAAACAACTTTTCTCTAAAACTTTCGTCTTTAGATTCTTTACCTTTTTCATAATATTCTCTTAAAGATGGAGGAAAATATATTCGGTAAGGAGCGGCTCGAGAGAAATAAAACTTTGGATTTTTGTCTCCATCATTAAACAAACCAGCGATTTTTTGGTATAACGAAGTTAATGAACTTGACTTACTCTTCACTATTCTATCTGCTCAACTATGAGCATCTAATTCTCATATTCTCCCCTTTTCTCAGGCATCTTTTTCTAACTCTTCTTTTAACTCTTCCGGAGACTTATCGGAAGTTATTTGCTGACCTGCTGACTTTTTCTTTTCTTCTTCCGGTAAATAAATCATAAAGTAATAGACTAAACCAATTAGCAAAATAGATATTAGAATCATCTGTTGCTGTTTCTTTTTATCAACCTTAGTTGCTGATTGATTGTTATCAAAATCAAAGTAATGGTCAATGTTATACATATTTAGCAAGTTATTCTCTAAGTCTCTTAAAAAAAGCCATTTGTTTTAAAATCTTTTCTTCTATCTCTTTTTCTTTTTGGAGTTCTTTTTTATTATCTATTACTATTTGCTTATCTGATTTAGTTAGATAGTAAATAGTTAGAAGTAAGAAAAGAGTTAGAGCAATTAAAATTAGTCCCCTTTGGTAAGGTTCTAAATTAGTATAGTAAGGGGCAAATTCTTTAAGTTTAGTTTCTAATTGTTCGGTATTTTCACCTAAGGTTTTTTTGAAATCATTAGTCATATTTTTAAAAATTATAGTTTTCTTCTTTCTGAGTGTAGAAGTAGAAGATTAGTAAAAGTGCTATTCCAGCAAAAATAAGGAGTTGGTGGTTATTAGTGTCGGTTGAAGAGTGGTTGAAACTAGAAGTATTCTGTGAAGAACTACTGTTATTTGCTTTGCTACTAGAAGGAGTTTTTTTAGGAACATTACCTTTTAAAAGAATAGTCAAAGTATCTAAGTTGCTGAAACGGCTTAAATCAGCGAGGGGATTAGTCTTAACTTTCCTTTTTATTTCTTCCGCCTTTTTTGCTGCTTTGTTGGCTAAAAGCATGAATTCAGCCTTTTTATCCGGGTCAGTCTCTTGGTCTGCTTTGGATTTGTTTTCTTTGTATTCGTTTTCTGCCTGCTTTGCTTCTGCTTCTAATTTCAACAATTCTTTCTGATGTTTAGGTTCCAATTTTTGAATATCTTTTAGTTGCCTTTGCAGAGTTGTAGAGAAAGTATTTAAAAATGACTTCAAAAAACTGCCAAAATAATCGTTTCAAATACAGCAAACACTAGCAATTGAATAAGTTTCAGTGGCTTGACATTTGTTAATGCAATCTTGAACTTTACTAATTAACGCTTGCTTTTTTTGGTTAAATATTTCCTCATTAGCCGACAGTTTTATTTCATTAACATCATCGGCTATGCTAGCAGTCGCATTAAAAAATTTTGCCAATGCTTCACAATCTTCTTGGAGATTATGAGAACCTCCTCAATTACATCTTCCGCCAGTTCAATAACCAGCATCGCCATGGACTTTATCGCCGGCTTTTCTTCTTCTTGCAGAATTAGCAAAGAAGTTATCTTTCATTTTTTCTGCACTTGTGAACTTTCTACTAGTTTCTACTCTTTTTTTGCTGTATTTTCCCATAATTTTAAAAAAATATTTTGTCTTCTGATGTTTTAAAAAATAATGTGTAAAGGGGTTGGTGAAGAAACTAATTCAAAAATAATTAACGCGTCCTCCGAGCCAATAATATGCTCCGATTAGATTTAGTTCTAGAACTAGAGTTAGAATTAAAGAAAGAAGACTTAGTTTCAGTTACTTGTAAAAATATTCCTAGTTTAGTAGCATATTCTACTAATCTATCCAAAGTGAATTTATTAATTCGGCCAAAGAAAATATCCTCAGTCTCCGGTATAGTTAATTGAATACTTTTAGCCACCTTTTCTATAGTCAGTTTGTTATCTTGCTTATAAGCCAGTATCTTTTGGCAAATTTCATATTTATTCTTTTCTAAAGGAGTAGCATCCGGCATTAGATTAATATTTTTGTAAGGAAAATTAGGGTTGGTCATTTCCTTTCTGATACTTTCTACTACTTTTTTAGGCGGACTTGTTTTTTTATTTGTTTTCATATTTAACTTTTTTTTTAGGTTTTTCATAATTACTTTCACGGTAGCAATCTATTACTTCTAAATAATTTTTGTTATCTTCTAGGCATCAAACTAAGCAATAGGCTTTGTTATCATAGAACAATGGTTCTTCAGCAAAGTATACTCAATCATCATATCTTTTTCCTGCTTCGGATCTTTTTCCATTTAGAAGTTTGACTAGTTCCATTATTAATTTTTCGCTAATGCCTTCATCTTTATGTTTTTTTCAATAAGGATCGATATATACTTTCTTAATGAAAATTCCGTTGACTTCTATCAATTTTTTCAGTGAATAATAACTGTAGTCAACTTCTTTTTTTAACATAACTTATCTATAATTCTTTTTTACACTCTGGCTAACTTTTCTAATAGTTCTTTAGACTCTTTTACTATTCTTTCATTTATTACTTT